CAACCCTGAGCCGGTGGGATTTGAACCGCTGACCTGCTGATCTAGCAGTAGCCTGCAGTGCTGCATTTAACCACTGCGCCACCTTGGCTCTTAATCAAAAAAGAGAATAAATCTGTTTTTTAAAGAATTAAACAACTTATTGAAATATTTGCTGACTGTGAAAAGAATCAATTTGACACAATACTGGAATAAAGAAACTTTGCTAATGGCGTAAGATTGAGGACCAGATTGGAAGAATATACAGCAGTGGTTATATATGTTTACGAACAGAAATGTAACCAAATTCATTTCGGAATAGCATCCTTACACAAAACATGCAGCAAGGCAAGCTAAGAAATTTAGACTATGACTTTTGAAGAGAAGAGACAAATATATTAAAAAAAACACCTGGGAAATGTTGTAAAATATAAATATAAAATTTTAAAATAAAGTATAAATAAGTAGTAATATTAAAAAAGGGAGGGTGCATTATCAAATGCTGCTATTTACAACATGCAATATTTTATTCTGTATCTTGAATCTATTTTTAATCTACTTTGTACAATAGTTATGCAATAACAAAATAATCAAACAAAACATTTTTTTGCAATGCAATCTTGAAAGCAGGATGGAAGTTGTGCCTTAATACAAATCCCAGATTCAAAGAATAGAATGTTTCCATATGAGATAGCTATATATGATATACTGTGATTGAATTTCTCTTTGCAAGCAGTGAAGTAGCCTTTCCTTCTTTTCTTTTTGGTAAGAAAGGATATTTTAGCTCCTGATTAAAATAGTTCATTCTCTTTGCTCTACAGCATCAGACATCTTCATCTCCCAGTACGACACTGGACAGAAGGAAGCTGTAAGAGCTGCATTCAAGCAGCGGTAAGGACAATTGCATGAAATGATGCGTTATCATTTTTAATCAATCAGATACATTGAAAATGAGGTTAGAGGGTAAAGGATATCTTTGAATTTTTAATGTATTTATTTTTCACATTTCTTAATCACCCATTTCCCTCAGAAAGTGACTCTGCGCAGTGTACAATAAAATATTAGAATCTAAAAATAGTATATAAAAATAAAGTTACTTTTGATACTTTTTGAATTTGTACAAATGTTGAGCTATCTGGCAAATGTTTTTAGTCTTATTAAATGGTGATTATAAAGCGAGGAAGCTTGATACATATTATATCATTGAGCTTTGCATCCCAGTTGAAAGGATTAGCTAGTTGGTGATAGGAAGGACTTCAGTATGCCTGAAATTTTAAGCAGAGGAAATGGGGGAGAGAACCCCAGGCGGTCTACTTTTATTATTGAAATTTGTTTCCTGAAAATATGTTTTAAAAAAGAAAAAAAATGTCTCAAACATACTACATATCCTTACATTTCCGTATTGTACATACAGAATCCAGAATGTTCCTGTTTTTAAAGAGGTGAAGGTAAACCTTCTAAATAACGTGTGTCCAGATAAGGACAGCTCCAAATCAATGCAGAGTGAAATGGATTCAGCAACAACCATTGCAGCTGCAACAGCGGCAGCTATTGCTTCCACAGCCCCACTTTTGAAAGTGAGTGATACATTTCATCAGTCTGGAGTAGATAAATAAAACAGAATAAGTGGGATGCATCAAGCAGATTCAGCATGTGTTTAAATGTGCATGCTGAGTTGTCATGTTTTTCTTTTTCAAACTGTAATGAATCTGTGGGAATATTAAGCACTTCGTTGCTATGTTCTAGGAAGAATCAGATGAGGAAAGTCTAACGGGGAATGGTTTAATGTTAATGGATGTAAAGTCGCTTATCCAACTATCTACTTTAATCCTTTCAGATAGTAATATACCCCTTAAAATCTTACTAATTCATAAATAGCATTTTTAAGATTATAATCACAAGTTTCTTTGTTATATATTCTTTATTCTGCTGAAAGATTTGTCATGCATTTGTTTCTTTAGTAGTCATTTAATAAATATATTTTATTATTTTTAATAAATATTATTTTTATACAACTACATTGTTTAAAAAACTAAAAGCCAGGTGGCTGATTCTTTACCTAGCCAGCCAATGTATATATGCACCTTTTAATCGTTCTGTATCCTACAAAGCTGAGATAATTAGTCTGATTTTAAGATGTAATGGCTCATAAGCTCTGTGTTTCTTCACTCAGGTCCAGAGTGACTTGGAAGCAAAAGTGAATTCTGTTTCCGAAATGCTAACTAAGTTGCAAGAGACAGATAAACAACTGCAGCGTGTGGCTGAACAGCAAGGCAGTCTGAAGGCTCAACAGCTTGAGGAGTCTTCTAGCAATCAGATGGTTGGCAAACTTGAAAAACAGATGAATGTCTTCATGGAACAACGAATTCAACATCTGGAAAATTTGCAGCAACAACAAATGAATATCCAGGTAGAACAATAAAATACAGAACTCTGCTATTTTATTTTATAATTATTTTCTCTTTATCACTGGGAATAAATGTTGTCCAGAAGAATCATGGATGGGGAAATGGTTCATTGTGATTTATCATCCCTTCTTCATTGAAACCATATTGATACCTTTATATCCTATAACTATTTAAACAATAGGATTCTCGTCTTAACCGTGAAATGTTACATTTTTTGTTCAGAAAAGAGCAGTTCGTTTCCAAGTTCAAAGAAGAATTTGAATTAAGTAGCACATTTATATCATATAACACCATAGAATCACAGAAATGAAAATGCCATTTAGGCCTCAAATCCAGTCCCTTGCCTAGTGCAGTAATCCAAATGAAGGCACCTTAGAGAGGCTGCAGTCTTGCCTCCACTTGAACGCATGTAGAACTGGACACAGTGCTACAGGTAGGATCTGACCAAAGGGAAACAGAATAGAATAATTATTTCCTGGTATTTCGAAATTATATTTCTGTTGATGCAACCTAAAATGGTATTTGCCTTCTTTACAACCACATCCCACTGCTGGCTTATGTATTACTTGGTTAACAATCAACTGCTGTGCCAAGAACTTTTTTTGCAGTTATTCCTATCAAGTCAGCATTGCCCCATCTTATACCTTTGCATTTCATTTCCTGAGTGAAGAATTTTGCATCTGTTTGTAAATTCCATTCTGTTATTCACCCCATTCCTATCAAGTTCATTTTGAATGTATTTTGTGTCTGTTATAGTACTAGCCCTCCTACCAAATTTTGTATGGCCTGCAGATTTGATAAGCACCATCCCATCTAACCTTTCATCTAAATCATTAGTGAAAATAATCAAGAGTAGAAGACACAGGACCCTATTGATACCTCCCTCTATTGTGATGAAAGGCAATCCCAGCAATCTGTTTGGATGCTGTCTTGGTAAAGGGGAAAAGCCTAAATCCTATTGAGACTTGTGACTGAAATTGGATGATGTAGACTGAAGCAAGCAAGAAATGTTTATGAAAACAGTGATTTCTGCAGTAGGCCTGAGATGCAGCATGTTAGTGTATATTTTCAAATATACACCATATCTATGGTTTGTTCTTTCTGTACATTTAATCATATTTCCATATGAGGAATTATCAGATAGCTTGTGCTGACTAGCCATTTCCTGATTTAATTATCACTTTTGAAATAGATTATCAATATATACTTGAGTATTTTCAAAAGCTTTGTCCTCTCATTTTCTTTTATCTGCGGCGGTTCCACCACAAAACCGCGAAGCCCTTATCCGCGCCAACATAAGTGCGGAGGCAAATCCGCGCCGTCCGAAGCGCTAAGAAAAAAACAACCCTACCGCGGAGGGCAAATCCGCGCCTACCGAAGCACCCTAAACCTAACCCTAAACCTAACCCTAAACCTAACCCTAAACCT